AGAATCTAGGGGGGCTCTGGGGGGATCTATAGGGGCTCTGGGGGGATCTATAGGAGCTCGGGGGTGTCTATGGCAGCTCTGGGGGGATCTATAGGGGCTCTGTAGGGGCTCTCCGCGGATCTATAGGGGCTCTGGGGGATCTATAGGGGCTCAGGGGGGTCTGTGGCAGCTCTGGGGGGATCTATAGGGTCTCTGTGGGGATCTATAGGGGCTCTGGGACTATCCATAGGGGTCTGTAGGGGCTCCCCGCGGATCTCTAGGGGCTCTTTAGGGTCCGGGGGGGGACACCAACAGGTGGGAGGGGGCTCCCTAAATGTGGGGAGGGGGCTCTGAGGGAGCTGATCTATAGGGGTGTCCCCTATAGGGGCTGCAGAGACCCCGGGCGGGCGGGCGGGGGGACCCAGAGGCGTCCGGACCCCCCCGCGGCGCTGGAATTCGCCCCCTTCCCCCCCCCGGGTTAATCCCGGTGGCACCAAAAGCGCCGCTTTTCGCCTCTCGTTGTGTAACGGGAGCGAGGCGGGGACCGCGAGCCGGACCGGGACCGGCACCGGGACCGAGAACAGGTGGGGACACGGGGGGACCCCCGGGACCGGCACCGAGAACAGGTGGGGACACCGGGGGGACCCCCGGGACCGGGACCGAGAACAGGTGGGGACACGGGGGGACCCCCGGGACCGGCACCGAGAACAGGTGGGGACACGGGGGGACCCCCGGGACCGGGACCGAGAACAGGTGGGGACACGGGGGGACCACCGAGACCGGGACCGAGAACAGGGACAGGGACGGGGACCGGCACCGGGACTGGGACCGGGACTGGGACCGAGAACAGGTGGGGACAATGAGGGGACCCCCGGGACCGGGACAGGGACCGGGACCGAGAACAGGTGGGGACACGGGGGGACCCCCGGGACCGGGACAGGGACAGGGACTGGAGCGCAGGTGGGGACACTGGGGGACAATGAGGGGACCCTCGGGACAGGGGACAGGTGGGGTCTGGAGGAGCAAAAAGGGGATGGGGACCGTGAAGGGACCTCGGGATGACACCAGGGGGACAGGAGGGGACCTCAGGGGACAGGAGGGGACAGGAGGTGGGGGGGATTCCTGGGACAGGGGGACCGGTGGGGGACAACGAGGGGGGGACAGAGACGGACAGCGGGGGGTGATGGCATGTGGTGGGGACATTGTGGGGGGACACGGGAACAGGTTGGGGGCGTTTTGAGGGGACACAGATGGGAACAGGTTGGGGCACCAGGGAGGGGTTGGGGACATTTTTGGGGGGGTTGGAGACATTGGGGACAGGGAGGGGAGGGGACATTGGACAGATTGGGGACATGGTGTGGGGACACTGGGACACACTGGGGACGTTGAGGGGTATGGTGGGGACATGGGTCAGGTTGGGGAAATCACAGAGGGGACATGGGACAGGTTGGGGACATTGAGGAGAATGGTGGGGACATCAGGGAGGGGTTGGGGACATCACAGAGGGGACCCTTGGGGACACAGAGTCACAGCTGGCCGGATGTCCCCATCCCTGGGGAGCTGCGCCGAGGTGGAGCAGGGACAGGGACACGCTGAGAGGGGATGGGGACATCAGGAGGGGTTGGGGACATGTGACGCAAGCGGTGACACGGTCCCCAGTGCTCACCACGTCCCCTGCTCCGTGTCCCCTCACCATCTCTAGGTCCCCCCTGGCCCCACGTCCTGGTGGCCCCATCTCGGCGCTCCCAGGGGTGTCCAACCCTTGTCCCGTGTCCCCATGGCCCTGGGGGTGGCCATGTCCCCCTCTCCCGGTGTCTCCATGTCCTGCTGTCCCCATGGGTGAAGATGTCCCCAAGCCCCAGTGTCCCTGTGTTTCATGGTGTCCCCTCAGCTGATGAAGTCTCGGTGGGGGTGGTGATGTCCCCATGGGTGTCCTGGGTGTCCCCAAGTCCCTGTGTCCACTGGTGTCCCTGTGGTTGATGAAGTCCCTATGGGTGGTGGTGTCCCCATGGTTGGGAGTGTCCCCACGGGTGGTGGTGTCCCCACAGTTAATGTCCTCATGGTTGGGGGGTGTCACCACGGGTGGTGGTGTCCCCATAGTTGGTGTCCCCACGGTTGATGTCCCCATGGTTGATGGTGTCCCCATGAGTTGTGCCATCCCCATGGGTGACCCTGTCCCCCTGCACAGCGGTGTCCCCGTGCCCAGCACTGTCCCCGTGCCCAGCACTGTCCCCGTGCCTGGAGGTGTCCCTGTGCCCAGCAGTGTCCCTGTGCCCGGCGGTGTCCCCGTGCCCGGCGGTGTCCCCGTGCCCAGCACTGTCCCCGTGCCCAGCAGTGTCCCTGTGCCTGGAGGTGTCCCTGTGCCCAGCAGTGTCCCCGTGCCCAGCACTGTCCCTGTGCCCAGCGGTGTCCCTGTGCCCAGCACTGTCCCTGTGCCCAGCGGTGTCCCTGTGCCCAGCAGTGTCCCTGTGCCCAGCGGTGTCCCTGTGCCCAGCGGTGTCCCTGTGCCCAGCGGTGTCCCTGTGCCCAGCGGTGTCCCTGTGCCCGGCGGTGTCCCCGTGCCCGGCAGTGTCCCTGTGCCCGGCGGTGTCCCTGTGCCCAGCGGTGTCCCTGTGCCCAGCGGTGTCCCTGTGCCCGGCGGTGTCCCTGCGCCTGGAGGTGTCCCAGTGCCCGGTGGTGTCCCAGTGCCCGGCGGTGTCCCTGTGCCCAGCGGTGTCCCCGTGCCCGGCGGTGTCCCCGTGCCCAACAGTGTCCCCGTGCCCAGCAGTGTCCCTGTGCCCGGAGGTGTCCCTGCGCCTGGAGGTGTCCCAGTGCCTGGCGGTGTCCCCGTGCCCAGCAGTGTCCCCGTGCCCAGCAGTGTCCCCGTGTCCGGCAGTGTCCCTGTGCCCAGCAGTGTCCCCGTGCCCAGCGGTGTCCCCGCGATGCCGTTCGGGGCGGTGCTGGCGCAGGTCGGGGGTCTGGGCCGGTTCCAGGTGCTGCAGACGGCGCTGCTGGCGGTGCCCATCCTGCTCATGGCCAGCCACAACCTGCTGCAGAACTTCACCGCCGCCGTCCCCCCGCACCGCTGCCGCCTCCCCGCTGTCCCCAGCGCCACCCCGGCACCGCCTGGAGCCACCGGGGCACCGCCTGGAGCCACCCCGGCACCACCCGGAGCCACCCCTGATGCCACCTCAGCAGCCTCTCCTGACACCTTGAGAGGCTCCGACACCATCCTGAGGTCTCCTGGTGGCACCTCGGGGTCACCTGCTGCCACCCCGAGGTCCCCCAATGGCATCCACAGCCCCGGTGCCACCCAGATCACACTCGATGGCAGCCCAGGGTCCCCCGATGGCACCTGGGGGTCCTCCAACGGCACCCTGGGGACCACTGGTGCCATGCTGGGGTGGTCCAATGTCACCCTGGGGTCCTGCCAGCGCTACGTGGCATCACCTCACACCAACGTCACCAGTGGTCCCCGGGCCACCGAGCCCTGCCGTGACGGGTGGGACTACGACCGCAGCATCTACGTGTCCACCATTGTCACTGAGGTGGGGACGGGGACAACAGGATGGGGAGGGGGTGGAGGTGACTGCAGTGTCCATGGGGGGGATGGATGGATGATGGATGGATGGATGATGGATGGATGGATGATGGATGATGGATGGAGGATGGATGGATGATGGATGATGGATGGATGGATGGATGATGGATGATGGATGGATGATGGATGGATGGATGATGGATGGATGATGGATGATGGATGATGGATGA